GGGCCCCGCTGACGCCGCTGCGCCCCCGCCTCTTCGAGGGAGGACTCTCTCCAAACTCCCGGAACTTCGGGGGGGCTGTCCCAGAAGCCGCGGAGCTCGCTGAGTGGGCAGCCTTGCCCGAGGGCCCCCGCCCGGGCTTGGCCTCGGACGCCCTCTGCTTGCCCAGCCTCGGCCACCACGTGCCTGGGCTCCGAGGGCTCCCCGAGGCCGTGATCGGAGCTGACTGCCCCCAGCCCTGTGCCTGCTCAAGATGCTCGTGAGGAAAGTGCCCGGCCTGGTCCCGGCCTCCGCCTGGGGGCTGCGGTTGCCGCAGAAGTTCCTCTTCCTCCTCTTCCTCTCCGGCCTGGTCACCCTGTGCTTCGGGGCCCTCTTCCTGCTGCCCCACTCCTCTCGCCTCAAGCGCCTGTTCCTGGCCCCCCGGACCCAGCAGCCTGGCATGGGACTGGTGGCCGCGATCGCTGGCCACCCATTGGTCCGGGAACAGGAGCCGTTTCCCAACCCGGCCCCAGCTGCGCCGGCCCCCGGAGAGGATGACCCCAGCAACCGGGCCAGTCCCCCCCGCAGGAAGGGGTGGCCTCGGCGAACTCGCCCAACGGGGCTTCGGGAGTTGTCCACAGCGTCTCGGGTCAACAGCATCGCAGCTCCCAAGCCCCTGGAGGGGAACGTCCCCTTCAGCTTTGACTACAAGGCGTTCCGGAGTCGTCTCCGCCACCCAGTGCTGGGGAGGCCCGATGAGAATGAGGAGTCCCGGAGCCTAGTGCAAGACCAGCGCGAAAAAATTAAGGAGGTAAGGATCGACCCCCCCCCCCAAAAAAAAAGACCCAACCACCCCTAAGCCCACAACAGCATCAACAGACCCCTGTGCTTCTTTCTCCCTACTGCACTGACCTTACTCCTTCCTGGACCCTGCTCCACCCTCAGCCTTGCCATTCTTTTCTTCCCAAACTTCATACCTTCTCATCATCCCTGCCCACTTTCCCACCACCCTCCTGAGTTCACCATCCCCAGCCTGGGCCAGCTTTCCCCTGTACCTGATGCTGGTCTTTCCTGTCACCCTGGTGGGTCCCCCCCTCCCTGGTAGACTAGAGGTCTGGTTCCCGAACAGTTCTGGTTTCCCTCTCCTTGCATTTGTCCGCAGGGAGCCGCTGGGCACATCCCTCCTCACTGTGTGCCTGTAAGGCCTAACCTCCCTGAAACCTTCTTAGGGTCTGCCACGCTCCACGGAAGCCCAGGATTGGGGGTGGGGTGGGTGGGTGTATTTGGTGCCCTTGCAAGTCTTGTCATCTAGCCAGCAACCTACAAATCAGAGGATGCTGTGCCCTCCGGCTTTTTCTGTGCAGCCGCAGACCGGATGAAATGCACAGCTGGGGTGTGTTACAGAAAGGCCTGGCTGTGCAGCCGTTAAAGCAGCACACCAAAAGTGAGCTGGTCAAACCCGCTGGCTGCTCTCTGGGAGGAGGATGGGGCTGTGGGCGTTTATAAGGATGTCCAGCTTTGGGAACTATCTAGAGAGGCTGACTGCCATATAGGGTACCTGACAGTGGCTCCGTCATGGAACAGTTGTGAGGCTGGTCCAGGTCCAGGCGTGTTTGGCTCTGTGGTGCATGGAGTAGCTATGCGTAGACACAGACTGCACGGTAGGTACCTGACACCACCCCCTGAGCAAACAACAACCAACACAGCCTCAGCAGGGGCTGGAAGGCCACGTGGGACTCTCCTCTTCTACCACGTTGAGAGCAGCCTGTGTGAGGCTTGTGCCCAGCAGTACTGAGGGGCTGCGGTGACACCCCCAGGCCACGAGGGGGCTGTGGGCAAGCCATGGGCCAGGGTCTCCTCCCTAGAAGAGAGAGGAGGCTTCCCCTTTCCCCCGCACACCCAGAAGGAAAGGGCTGCTTCTGTTTGCACTTGAGGGTTTGCTGTGAAGAGTCAGCAGGTCTGCCCCGAGTTCCAGAGAGCGCAAGGGTTAGGACCCAGCCTGCCAAGACCTTCTCGGGCAGAGCTTTCTTCCCTCTCAACAGCCCTGTTGTAGCCGCCTTATTTCCACTGTGTTTCAACTGTTCTGTGCTAAGCCCTGTTTAGACACTGTCTTAACTAGCAATCCCAGGGCTTCTTGTCAAATTAAGATAGGAGGCCCCGGAGAAGCCGAGTCCTTATAATTCACAACTCCCCTCCTTACACACAGTTCAGTTTCCAGATTCCTGTTGAAATCTCAAAGGTTAATTGAAGTCCGGAAAGTGCAGTAGACAAGTCATCTGTTCCTCCCCTTTCCTGTTAAGGAACTTTGTTATTGAATACTCCCCTGGACCACCTGCAGCTCCCTCTCTAATCACCTCTGGTGGGCATTTTCAGCCCTGGAGGGCACTGCCTGCACTGAAATGATGATTCACTGCATGCATCTGTTTTCCCTGAGGGGGAGGGAGAGAGAGGGTCCAGATGTTCAAAAGTCTCTCTGAAAGAATTAAGAATTAGCTACTGCCCTCCTGAGAAGAGATGCCACCCAGGTGTTTGACCCATTCCTGAAAGCCTCTGGCTGGGATTGGTACAGGAAGGGGGCCTGGCTACAGGGCACTTGGCCCCGACATCGCTGTACTGTGAGGACAGTCTCCTTAGCCAGCAAGGGCCGGGGCTTGGTGAGAGGCGTGGAGACTTGGTGCTTCTCAGGAGACTCTGCTTTAACGGGCTCAGCAGTGGTTTGAGTTGGTTGTCCGATGTCTGGATGCTTTGATTTGGCGTTCCCCCTGCACCCCTGTTCCCAGTCGGAAGCATTCTTATGTGTACCTGCAGTTGTTGTTCTGTGCCTGAGCTCCCCATTCGTGGATTCAAGCCCTTCATTGTTTGCTGCTGTGGAGCTGGGCCTGACTCATAGCAACTCCAGGCACAATGACGTGAAGTGCTGCCTGGCCAGCCCCATCCTCAGGACCACTTGTGAATAGGGTCATTTTGATTCATTGGGTTTTCTTCCTTTGTTCAATAAAGACTTATTTAAAATATATTTAAATGAGAAAAAAGTTTTAATACTTTCACTGGCATGTAATTCATATCATACAGTTCAGTGGTTTAAACATATTGAAAAGAATTGTGCAATCATCACCCCAGTCCATTTTAGAACAGTTTCTATTTCTCGTGCTATTAGGCATTCCCCATTGCCCCCAACCTCCCCTGCCATGACCCTAAGAAACCATTAATTCGGTACTGTCCTTAAAGATCTACCGATCCTGGATTCCAGATCTGCCGGATTTTCATTTCACAACGAAGACCACCGGGCCGTCTTCCTAGGCCATCTTCGTCAGGAAGCTCTTTTGAAACCTGCTCAGCCTCTTAGCAATATGCAAGTCTCCACCAACAGATGGGCGGTGGTGGCAGAGAGGCACATTAGCCAGGCCTTTAGGCCTGGTAGACTAGAGAAACAAATTCAGGGATACTCATGTGTATAAGAAAGAGCTTTATATAAAAGAGCAATTGTATATTGAGAACATCCCAGCCCTGTCCAAATCAAGTCCCTATGTTCAAGACTAGCACATAAATTCCTCTTTAGACCCATGCAGCCATGCAGTAATGCCGAGTGCAGGGAGTGTCGGTAGAAAGTGCAGGTAGAAAGTAGGTAGAAAGGCCAGTAGGTAGAAAGTCTTATGGATCCAGTGGCGGTGGAAACATCTCAACACTGGCGTGGATCTCCATATGGCTCCTTCAGTTCCAGGGTTCTGGCTCCATCAGTGTGTCTCCACATGACTTGTCAACAGAAATGCAGCAGAGTGTGTGTCCCACCTCCAGTGAGCTATTTATCTCCTTAGCGCCTCCGAATGAGGTCATGCTGCCACCTGATTGACAGGCTAACCTCCACCTCTTCACTCTTACGTCTCAAGTTGACACCAGATTATGTAACTACCGCACTGGATCTGCCACATGGAAGGTGAGACTCATATCACTAAGCCCTCATCATCCTTGATTTTTAGCTGCTTAGAGTGGGGAGGTGCAGGGTTACATAGACTATTGTGTTTTGAAGCTGCTCCTCTCTTCTGGAACTTGTCTCCCCCCTCAGATGACCTGTAGGAAGTGGTCTGCCTGTTTACCCGGCGTCATGCCTTCTCCGGTGCCACCTGATGAGGAATGCATGTGGCTTTCTTGTTTTCTCATTCAGAGCCCGCTCTGCCATGCCCAGGGCTAGCCGGTTTGAGAGAGGCGCCTGTTCGCTCAAAGAGGACCAGCGTTCCTCTCAGCCTCCTTGGTTTCTGGACAAGGATGGATTAGATCTGGGGGCAGAGGGGGCATTGCCATCAGATAAAACGGTCCCTGTGCTCAAAAGATGAGGTTTCTGAGGTTAAAGTAAACACTAGGAGGGACTCAGGATGACAAATGGGAGCTGAGGCAAACGCAGGCTGGCGAGGCGCGGCGTGGCCTGAGAGATGGACACGCTGCAAGGTCTGCGCTGATAAGACAGGTTGGAGCAGTGGGTCGTGGGTGTGCACATCTCGGGAAGCCATCTGTCACCAGAACCAGTACCAGTGCCTTCTCCTCACTGCACGATTTTGGGACTTTGGAGGAGGCAATGTGTGGTGCACAGGGGAGACCCAGAGAACGCGGACCCAGGGCTCCACGCAGTCATCAGCTGGCTGAGTGTGACATGGGGTAAGGGTGGGAGAATAGGCTGACGGCCTCCCCTCTTCCAACCCTGGGGACTTCCAACTCCTAAGGGGCCTGCCTTCAGTTGGTCTTGTCTTAGATCTGTTTTCAACCTGCCTCAGTTCTGTGGAGTCAGGGCCAGCAGCATTGCTGGTGTGGTGCCCGCTGCTGCATCCCAGCACCTAACTGACAGAAGGTACTCAGAGTTGACTCCGTTCATGATTCCCATCAACCGTGGGGAAGGTTGGGATGGGGCTGGAACAGTGACAGAATCTCAGGGAATGCGAAGGGGCGGCAGCTTGCTAGCAACCACCTCGTTCAGATCGAAGTATGATGAAGGAAACGGGGAGACCTCAGCAGAGGTGGAGGGTTTCTTATGGATTCAGGCTCAAGGAGAGTCTTCTCACTCTCAAGAAGTACTGGGAATGTATCGTTTGTCAAGGCTGCGTCCCAGTGAAGGATGGTAAACTCTCTCGGGCCCTATAGACGGCGAGCCCTGTGAAGTATTGGGTTGCACAAATCAGCAGTTCAGAACTCACAGGGAGGGCGCTCCCAGGATGAGAGACAAGGGTATTTGGGCCCTTAGAGAGTGACCGTCTCAGAAACTCTTGGGGTCGCTGTGAGTCAGCACCGGCTGGGTGGCAGGGAGTGCGTGAGAGGGGGTCCTACAGGTAATGGTTGGTTGCTGAGTTCTAGGAGGACATCAGGCTCTTCCTGTCCTGACGGGAATCGGGCAGTCTGGATCGGTGAGAACATGGTAGGGGGGAGTTGGAGTCACCCTTACCCATTCCTTATTTTTGGACAAGCTACAGAAAAGGGGACCCCCTGCATCCAAATTGAAGCCCCCCCTGCATCCAAATTCCCTGAGTTAAATGTCACTGCCCCCCCACACACACACACACCTGCACCTCATTTGTTCAGCCCAGTGCCCTTCGGTGTCACCACTGGATTTGGTGGCCCTGCTAAGAGTCCAGCCTGGGCTCCTATCTGAACCACACCATCAACTCCTTTCCTCACTGACCCTCAGTCTTGGTGGCAAAGTGAAGAGGCTGGCAGTTAGTGAACTCACCCCTGACTCTTAACTCCCAGCTGCTGACAGTTTTGTTTATAGAGCTGCCCAAGTGCCCCGCACAGGGCTGACACCCAGTAGGAGCCCAGCTGTTTGGC